TTCCAACTTAATGTATTTTGTACAATTTTTGTTTAGCAAACCAAAACAGTTTTTGAAATTTCATTTTATGAACATGTTTAATGTACTTGTTTGGTTTAAAAAAGACCTGCACGGTACTGTTTGTTGGTTTTGTACAACAGTTGTAGTTTCGTACATAAATAGTCTTAGTTTCGAACTGTAGTGTCAGTATCTGTAGTTTGAATCCCTCGTTTTGCACGTCACTAACTTTATCCAACGTAAAACGATTTACCGGCAAGAAATTCCTCCGATTATCGATAACATGAACTTCTGTGAATCAACCATTAGCTGATGGGTCGAATTAGGATAATTGCCTTTCATGGATGATTAATCGGCTAATAACGAATTACGACATCTGCTGATCTTCATCGGTACAACTATATTCTTAAGTTCAGCATCTTAGAAAGGTAGTTTAGAGGCAAACTTTCCATAGAAATACCACTTAAACTTTCTTTATGAATACCTCTTAAGAGAATAAACTTTTGTTGTGAAAGATACTTTTAACAGGACAAACTAAAAAATTAATTTGCGTTTCGATTATCAGACCCTATCTTGAAGCTTTTACTGCTAGGAGTAAATATTTCATAGAAACAATATTGCAGTTTATCTATCGATATAGAAGTTGTTTGATGAAAAATCAGAGGGAGAAAATTGTTGTAAAACCAGTATTCATTGATATTGAGTGATATCATGCATCTGATTCTGAAATTCCAAGAATGTTATCTGAATCTGGTTGGCTGGTGCTAATTGCTGATGCACATCTGAGTCTTGCGAACTTACTTTGTAATTTTTTGTAACATCTGCATAAAGTAAAAGATTTGTGAAACATTAGATTAGATTTATATAGTTCTAATTAATTACACATAAATCTGTTAACTATGAACAATTTAATCCAATATTTGATGATTTTTCAAAGTGTAAGGATTTTAAAAAGATTCTTTTTGGATGTTTCATTCTAAACTCGGGGGTAACTTTGTAAATTAAAACGGGTTCGTCGTCAGTGCAGGATGCGTTTTATTACAAGACGTGTTGCTGCGAACGGAAGTCGTTTTTATCGCTCACGTACTAAAATTCCAATTCCAGTAGAATTTTACCGTTCTACTCGGCCGGAGATGGCTGACGTATGGGATAAATTTGTTCCTACCGTGTTCCGCAAACAACAGACCCCTATTTAAATTCAAAACTATTGAGATCTGCCTACCATCTGGTGTGCAGCTTTACTCTCCGGACAACTATTTTGTAGCTTCCTTCAAACATTCTTGTTTCAAGAAATTTTCTACGATTTTAAAATTTCCCTTCCTTTTCTGTTCAAAATTAATTTTAAAAAATATTTCCTGTCAATCTGTAAACAATTTAACTACAATAGAATAAGAAAACTCGAAAATTGAAGAAATGAAAGTATAGAATAGAATTAAACAAACAAAATTAAGCATTTTGGAACAAGTAAATAAATACACATGGAAGTAAAAATAAATGAACAATTAATGAGGACAAAATTTGACGCACATCTTTTGTTATATAAACGTCAGTACGAATAAGCTGCATTTTTTTTTCTTTTTTTGTAACAATGCAAGAACAGCGCGAGTTATTTTTAGGACAGTGGAACAGGTGCGTTTCACAAAAGTTATAAACCTGTTATACTTTGTTTTTAGAACTTGAAACAATGTCATATGTAACTGCGCTTGTGCGTATGTTTCTCATTGCTGTCTGATATTCTCTTTCCTCGATTTTTATTTTGACAATTTCTTCAGAAACAAACAATTTTGTTTCGTCAATAAAAATATGTACATCCTGTTTTTGTTAAAACAATTTCTGTTTATTTCCGCTTTGAAATTCGTGCAATATCATTTCATTTTTGAAACTGGAAATTAAATTTTAGATAAACAATAATATTTTTAAAATATTGACACATAGTGGGAAAAATGAATTCGAAGTTCAGAAAAATAAAAATTTAATTAAAACACCAATGAGTATTTAAATTTAGTATTCTAATTAAGAGTTTAAATTTAAAATTGTGTCTTTAAATTTACTAATTTCAAAATTCGGATAATTTGAAAAAAAATTATTTTTGTAAAAAGTTGACAATTTCGAAAAGTTACAAATGATTTCTAAAAAACTTTAATAGTTGAGTGATTTAAGTTAGGGAACTAAACTTTCACCATTTTAATACAGAATTTTTTTTATCAGTAGTGAGAAATTTTTCCTGAAATTGCCTTTTCAGTTATCAATATTTTCAGTAAATTTAATAAAAAAAATATGTCATGCTGATTGCATCAATTGTCTCAAGAAATCGATTAATTCGATCGGAACGAAATCATATTTCTTCATTGACTTTTACTTCTTGTAACATTGACGTTTTTATTTCAACATGTCTTTTGCTCTTTAGTTTCTCTCAAACTTTGCTATTCATTTTCTTGACACAGGAACTTATCTAACATACTTGGAAAAATTGTTTTCTATAATTTTACAAATTTATTTTTGATATTTAATTATAATTATTTAATTTTATTCTTATTCTCCTCAATTCTGTAAATTTACTTGGTTGTAATTTACAAATATTTTTTTAATTTAAAATAATTTTAGATAATAATACATGAAATTATTCTATTTTTTGCAAATAATAACATTGTTGAAATTTTCCTGATACAAAATTATAGCAATTGTTTTACTGAATGTTTTAATTGATGGAAACAATTATTAGGATTTAAAATTTATTGATTTAAGAAAAAAGTATCAAAACGAGTCTTGCGGTTACGAATTGTGCACGTGTATCTTAATTATCAATTAGTTGTTATCGTCAACAAATCACCGATATAAACCCAAACGAGTTTTGCAAGAGCACATTACTTTTGTAATTAGGTAATTAGAAAATATGTACGACGATAGTAGCTGATATTGATAGTAACTACTTGTTATCAAAGACATTTTAAAACACATTTTTTTTACATTATTTAAACAATTAAACTCGCGAGGAACAATTTTTTATTTTTAACCTGTTACATTTTACTTTACCATTCACATTTTTCCTCCATTGGAAAAATTCTTTTATCGCTCCATTTTTCTTCTCTAATTTTTAATTATTATTTACAATAAATAAATAATAATAAATATTAATTATTTCACACAAAAAAAACAGAATAATTTCGTTCTGTTGAGAAAATGATAAATTAAAATATTTAAATTCTTAAAATTGAATTAAATTTTTGTCAATTTCTTGCAGATTAGAAAATGCATATGATAGAAGACAGAAAATAGGGAAAATTTTCTCTATCGTGAATGAAAGAGTTAACGTGTGGAATGTGACTCGCCATTGACATGCTTATTATAAGAAAAAAAATTAATAAAAGGTGTAAAAAAAGTGAGTGCTCCATTTCAATCTACACTCTTGTGTAATCTCGACCTTGGGCTTCAAACGTTTTCTCATCTTGAAATAAACGATTCTCGAGTCCGCGGCAAATGCAAAACGTGAAAGGGAGTTCCATATTACGAATTCTCGTCGGCGTGTATTTACATGCGTGGTAGATACAGATACATGTACTCGAAACGTGTGAGTACAACTTCTGCCAGAAATGGACCTTATCATCTTCAGCCGCCAGCGACTTATCCGTCCAACAAGAAATCCTTTCATGCAAATCGAAAAAATAAAATTGAAAAGAAATAATAATAATAATAAAGAGCCCAGTGACGTATATAAAACAATTTTATTTTTTTATAATAAATAAATAAATTAATTAATAATGAATTCTCAACTTGGAACTTGATTTTAACGAGTTTACCGAATAGTGAAACTATCGAAAAATTAAAAATGTTTTATTTAAAGTAAAATATTTATTAGCTTATTAAATTTAGTTATAGAATAAAAAAATTGACTCTTTCGACTTTTTTTTAATGTCAATCGACTAAAATGACTTTTTATGCGCCTTAATCTAGAAATAAATTATTATCAGAAAAATAAAACACAAACCATATAATTTCTTGAAAAATATTGTTTAAAATTTCCAATGTAGTGAAATTTATTTTCGTGTACTTTGAAAACATGATAATTTTTGAATTATGTTGTATCTACAATGGTTGAATGTCAAAATCAGAGATAGTTTTAAACTGCAATTATTACAATCGTATGTAGTTATAGTTGTTATACTATTATATCACAATTATTATAATCGTTAGTAGTTACTCGTCGCTAGTTGTGAATTAATTATAACACAAATTGCCGGTACTTGTAATCGGCGATGTAGAGCTACTTTTTTACAACCGGCAAACTAAAATAGTTTTAATTTCTTGTAATTCTGGGATCTGGATAGTTTTCTTTAACGGTAGTTTTAACTACACTTGACGCTAGTTTAAATTATTTAAATATTTCTTCTCACGCTGAATGTTGCAAATTTCAGCTTTACAGAATTTGTCGACTTCAAAAAAAGTTAGCCTCTTTTCGAATTTGGAAAAAAATAATTTTTTTTCTTTTTTCTTCTTCTCTCTCATTCTCCGATTTGTTTAGTAAATATTATCCTGGATTTTTTTTCGTAAAAAACTGACCAAACTTGATTTAACCGCCCCGTGGAACTTGAATTCAAGGTTATAAACGAGACTTATCGCATGCTGCTTTGAATTTTGTTCTGAAATTAACTTTCTCGTTAAACAGAACTTTTCTTCTTTTTTTTATGGACAATATTGTTTCTGTTAAATAACGTTAATTTGAATGATTTTGTAGACTGTAAAAATTTCATTAGATGATAAACTTGGTCAGTTATTTTTTGAGATATTTTATTTTTCATATTTTTATTTCATTGGATTAAATTTTGTTTAAAGATAAAAAATTGTTTTGTGTGTGTATTCATTTTTTTGCATATTATTTTTTGTCTGTTTGAAACGGATTTATTTATTTATTTTTTTGTAAACTCATTATTTATAATTTTATTCAAACATTTTCAAATTCAACATGAAATCTAAAGAAAAAATCTTCCTCCTCGATTCTGTTCCAGAATTCCCAGGCGCAGTACATTGGACGCTGAAAATCGATAGACCGACGACGACTCGATAAATTTTAACGTTGGCGCACCATCGCGACTTTTCTTCTCACAAAAAATGAAAAAGACATTGCTAAACGACTATACCAATCGAGAAAACAAGAAAAGATCGTTTCAAGAGATTGTTTCCTCTCCGAATAACTCGGATAACAAAAGAAGGTATTACATTAAATTCAATTACCAAAAATGAAATTAAAAAAAAACAAATTTTTAAACACATATTTGTGTTAATGAGTGTTTAATTTGAGAAAAAATCGATCTTTGAAACATAAGTGATGGTCTTGAGTTTAACGACCTCCTTGCAATCATCTCATGATAGAAAGCTCCCTTCACCAAAGGATGCTGTCCTATTCACAATTGTACTTTTTTCATCATAGTATCTTTCGTGACCGGAAGTAGAAAATGTGACGGAAACTGTCGTACAATATTGAAAGTCAGCCATCCATTATTTGTTTGGAAAAGGCTCTCTTTTCATTTTAGTATGACAAAACTATGTTCTCAACATTATACTCGAATCAGTCTCTTGACTTTAATTTATTTTTCTCATTCAAACTAATTTTTCCATTTCCTCTATTCACAATTTTTTTTGCTCCTATCTTTTTTCAAACATTTTTCATTAAATCTCTTTGGGACATTTTTTTGCTCTACGAAACCTTGTTTCTCGATGAGACTACTTTTTTTACGAAACAGAAATATTTTTTATCTAGGAGGCCTTTATTTATAAACATTGCATTTTATCTTATCAGGATATCTTATCAGATTGGAATTTTTAACCAAACTGTCCAAATCTTTAAATCTTGATAACAAAAATAAATCGTACCGATTGTAAAAGAAAAAACCTATTTTCTAGATTCGAAAATATCGGTTCATTAACGTAAAACAAAAATAAAGTAATTTTTAATGCTTTTTAAATTGCGAATTGAAATTTCCGGATGGAAAATATTTCTAAAGTTGTAAAAAGAGTAAAAACTCGAAAACCACAGTCAAAATCACTTTCGATAATCTGGAGCAGATTTGAAGGCAGATGAAGGAGCTTAAACTTTCGAAAGTGGGAAAATGCAGGGATTGAGGCTCCTTTTGATGGAAAAAAAACTGAAAGCAATTTCTCTTGGGGATTGGAGCTAAAACCTGGGGAATAAACAGAAAGAAAAAGAAATATACTGACCCTTGGCAAAAGGGAACGACGAGTCTTTGTCGGTACAAAAACCGTCGAGTATATGTGCGACTGGTTTTCTCAAGGGCCCTGGAGTTCTAAGTTCGCCTCAAAATTCCAGACAAAGTATCGGGCAGGATGTGGCCTTTAGGCCAGTCTGACACAACCATTCGTCTCTCTCACTCTCCCATTTGGTACAGTCTTCTGCTTTAATCTTTTCCCTCTATGCCCACAACTTTACATTTCTTAGTCTTAAAAAATACATCTCTCTCGATCTAAACATTATAGAGCTTCCATTCATTCGATGAAAGTTAGAAATCATATTCTCGTTTTTTAGCCATGTCATGGTTCAAACTTTAATTGAAGCCAAAGTTGAGAAAAACATGGAATCATTTTTGTTGCGTACACCCAGAAAAAAATTCTTTGTTTCAATGTAATTTGTCCACTGTTACAGGGTCAAAAAAAATTTATTTCATTTAAAGAAATTATTTCTTTACTTTTTTTACTTAGTCTGCGCAAACGCAGTCGCACAGTTACCAATGACCGTATCTAAAGCAATTGCGCTTGCGCCACGATAACTCTCTCATTGACAAGAAAAAGCGCGCTTATATCAAATGCTTTTAATATAAGAAAATGATAAGAAAGCAATATAGAAACATTTTTACTATTAAATTGATTGTTTTTTTTATAATGTTTGATTAAAAGAAATTTTTCTTTGGGTTAAAAAAATATCATTTAAAGAAAAAATATATTTAATTCAAAACACTTGAAAATTTTTTTTTCGTAAAAACTTATTTTCTAAATATGTTAACTGCAATGAAGTAATGGATAGTTTTTCCGCATCTTTTTTCGATGTTTTTAAAAAAAGAAGTAAAAAAAATCATTTGAGTAGATAATTAAGGTTCGGCTGTTATCACTTCCTCGCTAATACGAGTCTCACTGCAAGAATGACTTCCACTAAAATTGCAAATTTGCATAAATAAAGTATGTAAAAGCAAACGAGAAACGCGCTAGACGTGAAGTGCCCTTGAACTCAATACCTTTACTTCGAGAAACGACTTAGAAAGATCAAACGTTGTTATCTTAAAGAAAAAAAACTTAGCAAAAAGAAAAAAAAGATATCGCTTGTTAGAAACTGTTCAGAACCTGACTTATTTTGCCGAGTAATAAATAAAGCCGCAACTTGATATATTTAATTATTTTTAATATATAAAAAATCTTTTCATTAAGATTAAAAATAATGTTTTGATAATATATTCCATATTATGCAATTTATTTAAATACAAATTTATGTATTTAAGAAATAATTCTTGGAAAAAATAAACATTAAATATCTATTTTTTGGCTATGGAGAATATTTCGTTTAAAAAAGGTCTTTTTAAATAAATAATTAATCATATTTTAAAACTTCAAAATCGAATTTTAACATCCTTTTAAAAAATGATAATTTTAAGGCAATTAAATTCTTGTTTAAAAATCTAATTTAATTTCATATTTGAAATTTTTTCAAGGCAATTTAATTGAATAATTGCTTTATTATTTTTTCTCATTTAAGTGTTTAAAAGTGGATCACAAAATAACGTGAAAATATTGAATCTTAATATCACAGAAAAAACGCTGGATAAATTTTGTTGCGGGTAATTTTAACCAATGCTAATTCACACAGACGGTGGCGCTCCCAACTAAGATAAAATTTGTTGCAGTTAATTTTATACCGATTTTGGGGTAAAAATTGTACTTTTTTTAGTGTCAACTATCAGATAAAAATTATTTCACTTTAGCTGAAATAATGAATTTAATTTCTAAGAAATTTTTGAAATTTTAAAAATTATTTTTTTACTTTACTGTATGTAAGTAGAGAATGGATTCAAAGGTTTAAAAGTTTTTTAAACTCAAGTGGATTTTTTCTAATCTAGAGTCTTGAAACTATCTAGCTTGCGCATTTCTCCGGAAGTACATAGATAAGAGTTGGTACGCAGTTGAAGGAAAAGTACAGTTACGTTGCCTTTCAAAAATAGTCACTTAAAATCGTTACGTCTAACGGCCTACTTACCTCTTACCTAACTGACTAGCTACCTAACCTGTCTCATTGCCATGGTGATAGTACAGTTCTCATTATAGCTCTAAATACATCACGTTACTATATACTAGAAGAAAAAAAATTAGGTCTCTTCAGTTATTACAATTACTTCATCTCAAAACAATTAGGATAAACAGTAAATAAAAATTCCCTTTCCATAATTTTCTGATAACTTTGAAGAAACAATTTTTCTCTAAATTATTCGTCTTTTTTATTTTTTTATTGACAAGAGAATCTGGTAATAAAAAATTATATTTAAAAGTAGGTATAAAACTTTTTTTTAAATTTATATGTTTTTTAAATTTTTTTACATAAAATCTATTATGCTGGTAGTCAATTTTTGATTTGCAAGGAAATTTACAGTATGCTTAAAAAGTTTATGTTTAAAATATTTTTAAAAATAAAAAGATGAAAGCATATTTAAGGGAAAAGTGTAAATCGAATCATAAAGAACTAACATTTTTTTGTAGCATAAACACAAAAATTGAGATTGAAAATGTGTTATTCGTTGTTCGTCGCAGTAAAAAAAAAGTTCATTGAAACTCCTTTGCCTTTCCATGAACTTTGGTTATTAATTTTTTTTTGTTTATTTCTACACGGATGTTTGAGAATTGACACATGTAAACTTTTTGCTTTCAGACTTGGCCGTGTCGTAGGCAGCGAAAATGAAGGCAAGAGGTATACAATTGTTTACGTTTTTCACAAAAATCAAATATTTTTTTCTAAAATACTGTTCATAAAATTTTTTTAATTTCTTTCCAACTTTTTTTAAACATAATAAATTAAAACTAAATTAAATATAATAATTTAATATTTTTCAAAGAACAATTGTGCAATTTTTTAGGAATAATAATATTTGTTTAAAAATATTTTACAAAGTTTAAAATTTATTTATTATTTATAAATATATATACCTATATAAATCAAAAACACTTAAAAAGTTTTAAATATATTTTATTATATTTTTAGACCTTCTTAAAAAAAGCATGTTTATCAATTTTTCGAGAAATACATCAAGAAATTCTTTGCCGTTTCTAAAAAAAAGCTTCAAGAATTAAGTATATGAAATGTTTCCGAAGAATGAATTTCAAATTTTTTTTTTTAAGAAATGTTTTAAAATACATAATATCTTTTTGTCCTTGAAAGAGATTTTTCAAAGTCGATGAAATTTTATTCCAATTTTGAATAAATGAATGAATTCAACACATTTTTTGTTTGATTTTGAATTTGAGAAGGAACATGCAGAAGTTTTATCGGCATTCGTGAGAGTAGGCGTTGGTTTATTTGCTCATATGAAAATAGCTCCGATTCTGAACTACTGGCGCACCAAAGTATAATATAACGTTCACGCAAGTCGAGACCGTGTCGTCATCCGCAGCTGTTTTCATTCAACGTCGCCCTTTTCTTATAGTTAGCAACTTCCTTTGCGGCGCGTTTAATTGCCCGTTCTTTCTTACTTGTAATTCATTTTTTATCCCCACTGTGCTCATTAATTCCTGTAATTTAATAGAAAAAAATACAGCAAAATGCCGTGAACAACTTGTGGCAACAAATGCAACGTCGATTTTAACAACCATCACTTACAAAATATGTACCTACAATATTAATTATGCATTTATTTGCAATTACTATTTGTGGAAACTAAAGTCGATTGTAAATAATTTGCTTACAATTAGTTATTTCAATGAATTTTAGGTAATGTTCTTTTTGGAAAAAAATAGTTGTTAGGGTCATCCAACGAAACGTTACGTTGTAATGTAAAGATAAGGAAAAAAAGGAGACTTTTTATTTCCAATTTCTATCCTTCCTAAAAATAATAGAAAACGATATTTTTAATGATCGAGACAGTAAACATTGCGAAAATTAAATTTTTTTTATAGATTTTGTACAAGATGTTGATTTCTTATATTGATAGCATTGCAAGGCCTGTTGTTGTTTTGGTATGGGTACTCTCTAAATCTGAATTAGTAGTTTCCTATTAACGAAAGAGTGCGGATTCGTTTACCAATTGAATTAGTAACAGTTTTGACTCTTTTTTAGTAGAAAACTACTAATTTATGGAGTAAGTCGTAAATTTTACTATTTCAAATTAGTAAGCCGATTTACTCCATGAATTAATAGTTTTCTACTAGCAATTAGTAGTTTTCTACTAAAAAAGAGTCAAAACTGTTACTAATTCAATTGGTAAACAAATCCGCACTCTTTCATTAGTAGAAAAACTACTAATTCAGTTTTAGAGAGTATATATTTCTTTCCTTGCCTTACGCATATGTTTCCATAGAAACGCGAGCAGTGGACTAACATAACCTTACTTTATTGAGACATAATAAATTCAACAAAAATAGTAATTATTCTGACAACGAGCTATTTTTATTGCAATGCCGTTTCAATTATTGATAAAGAGAAAAAAACAAGTATTTCCTGTTTTCTCTCAACTCTTTTTTACCATCGCTCTCTGAAGGCAGAGTCGACGAGATCCACTTTACAATCTGTCGTGTGACCCGCGCTTATGTGATAAGGGTCAATTAATCTTAATGGATCCGTCGGACGTCATGGGACAAAACCACTTTTACGATGCAAGTTTATGCTCGACAACAGTATCATACTAATGGCAAGTTGTCCTCCAACGACAAAAAAAAACAAATGACGAATCGTGGAATCTGTGTTGCATTTCGCCTCTCAAAAAATCCTGCTTACTGCAAAAAGTTTCAGGAAATTATGCTAAACTGAAAGATACACAACTGTTTCATGTCTTGATCCTATTTTTACTAATTTTATTTTCTTTGAGTTTTCTTTTATAGAAATTATAATGAAAACAAAATTTATTGACCAAATTCAGTGGTAACAATAAAAATTCATATTCAAAGCAATTGAATTTAAATTTAATGCAAATGGTTTTAATTTGAATCGGTTAAGTCGATTCGAATTTTGTGACCGACATCAAAGGATTGATGGTATGTATAACGGTGGAATATAATATAAAGATCTGATAAAGGGAGTGTTAATAAATTCTCATCGGTCTAGTGTCCTCGGCGAGAAAAATAAGATGAATGAACTTAATGCATTGAATGCAGAGACACACCTCGAGTGATTTATCCCGATGCATCCCTCTTTTACGATGGTCGATTGTATTTAAATTTCCATAGTGAGTAACGAGGAAAAAGTAGACGGGATTCTTCAATCAGTTTCTTCTCTTGATTTGCACAGAGGGATTTTATGGCAAAGGGCTTCAAATTTCATTGCAAGTTTTATGGGTGTTTTGAATTTTTCAAAAAAAAGAAAAATAATTTTACATCGTGGCTTTTTATGAGTAACTACCAAATAATCGAGAGAGTGAAATATATTTATGGGCGTTGATGTAAATAATAAACGTATCAAAGATAATAATTGAGACCGGCCATTGGTGGAACCTCTTCGGCAAGAGGTTGCTATTTACGAGCATAGTTACTATCCGTTTCGCTGACATGTATGTTCAGTGCCTGGTAGTGCCGTTACGACTGTTACTTGGCAAAAATCTGTCTTCTCCGAACCATCAACATCATCCACTTGTCATTTCAAACTTTTCGAGTATTTACACTTTTTAAAAAGGCGCTTTTACCTCCTTTTGTAACCGACACTCTTCAACGCATCTTCTCTGCATACTTGAGGATTATTTACAATAGTTCCAAAGATAATTTTCAAATCTGTGCAATTTACTTTTTCTCTTCTTTTTTGTTTGCCTTTCACCGTTTGAGATTTGTTTATGGAGAACTGAAATGCTCTTTTTCATGTTCAACTTACTGATGAGCTTAAACTATCGATTGAATATTACAAGCATAAAAAAGAATGAATGTTATTTCTGTTAGATGAAAAGTCAGTCCAAAGGTCTGAAAGGGCTGAAACAACCCAACAAACCCACAAATTACATTAGTCAGAGTTATGGCTGTTTAAAAAAATTACTAGTTACATCGGACGGTAGTATTTTTAAAATGTAAAGACGAAAATCGACTGTAAATTTTGAGGCCACTCAATGTATATTCCATTTATAACAAATACAATTTACAGAGCCTAGCACGAGATTGGGAAACGATGAAGAAATTCCGGTGACCTTTGGTTTGCCTTAAAAGGAACTTTTGTCTGTGTTATAATGGCTGTCATATGGTTTCACAAGAGTAAAGACAATAAACCTCGCAATCCGACGGTTTGCCCCATTGTCAGGGGAATTTATTTCATTTGTCACCATGAATTTTGCACTCTCGTTCCATGTGACTGCACCTTAAAATTAGAGCGCTTTCTCTAACATAACACCGACTTTATCAGAAGCTTGTATATATACTTTGGGTCGACTTCCTTCGTCGTGATATCGATCAACATTTCGTATGGACGCGTGCGCGACAGTCTTTGCGCTTTAATAACTCTAAAAAAAAAAAAAAAAAAAAATGCTCGCGCACACCTCTTTCAGTGCCTTTTCGTAAGCAACGATAAATATATTTCCAAACGAAAAGACCGGGCCGCCCGTTGACCCATTTGTGAAACTGCTCGACTCACATTGCCACACACACACACACACACACACACACACCTCTTTTCAGATTACAACACTTTACGGTTGACGAATTACGCGGGCTTAAAATCACTGACTTTTGACATCCATATCCCCACAAATTTTTAAGTCTTTTTCATTTCCGAGGTCAATTTCTTGATCGTATTTTATTTTTAAAAAAATCTTTTGAAATACTTGATGAAACAATTTGTTTCTCACAGTATATTTCGAAATTTTTCGAAATTATGTGTTTTACATTATGATTCTCTTTTTCTGTTTAAAATATATTAATATAAAAAAAATTAATCATTTAGGAAATAACAGAACTTATAATTTTTGGTCCATCGGCCTGGGTGATAGTATTAAATGATTGATCTCTATTGAACATGTTTCAAAACACTATACCTAAAAGCAAATATGTTGCTGTAATTTGTACATCAGAATAGTTTGTTAAAATATATGTTTTTCTTAAAAAAATTACTTCTCCTTAAATCTAGCATATTACAATGAAAACATTAAATTTAGTTTTTCTTCTCAAGAAAAATGATTTCTTACTCTCCCGTATATAAGAAGCAAAAGTAGCCTAAAAGAAATTCAACTTTATTACGTTTTATTATATAAATGAAATGATGCGGGTACCGTGAAAATGCTTTTATAAAAAACTATGCTTTATGATAGATTCGTCCGAGGACAAAAGGCATTTTATCAACTCTCCTTGGAAATTCTGAGAACAAATCGCCTCTGGAAACGAACCAATGAAACGGCCAAGTTCAGATGTGTAACGTTGTAAAACCCGCCATTTCGCCTTCTGTAATGCTCGAGAGCAGGCTTTAACGATCCAATCCCCAGAACGATCGAGTAAGTGAGAAGGAGAGAGAGAGAGAGAGAGAAAACGGTATTTTGAAAGGATTTGTCGGAATCTGCCGACATTTCAGTCGATTGCAAATGTCAGTTTCGCGCTTTCAAAAATATAAGGGAAGAATGAGGAAAGATAATACTGCAGTAAATTGTTGAAAATGACTGCTCAAATATAGTGTACATTAAGTAAATTCGAGCTTGCTCCTTTGGGGCTCTGATTTCATTTCGTCGAATGTTTCATGGTGCGAATGTGGAGTAATTCAAAGGATATGAGAAAATGATTTTAGAATCCAAATTTTAAAAATACCGTCTATTGTAGTCTTCTAAAACTACCAACAGTAATATCGCCAAGTCTCACAATTCAGTAATATTAATTTAATAACAAATATTTTCCAATGTAAGAATTGTTTCAAAAAAACTTGAATGGCCCTTTATTTCCGTCTGCAACCGTTCTTTGAGGCTAAGCCAGTTTCCAAGTGGAGAAAACGGTTACTTCTTTTCTGTTTGAAAGAACTTGGTAAACGGCTTTTGTATCGAATCCAGACGCTTTTGTTTGGCCTTGATACGGGCCTGGACAAAGACCGATGTTTTCGAGGTGGTCGATAGTGGTCCGAGGGAAAGGGCAGATAGGCACTTAAAGCTTGTGCGAGGTCGAGGGCACCAATGAGAACATACACCATCTGTGTCAGTGTGTGTGTGTGTGTGTTTCTGTGTGCCATTAAAAACACTGATTACAATTATACAAAGTTTCTTTGGACCTTGGACCTTTACTTACAATTATACTTTCACCTCAAGTTTAATGACCAAAATTTTTTTCTCAACATTGACAATTAATTAGTTTCCTTTTTATCTTTTCGCATTGTTATTTAATCAACGATTAATAACGACCGAAATTTGGTTTAATATTTTGACTCACTGCAGTTATAATCCATGAATCCTCATGTCCAAACACGAGAAATCGAATAACAACATTTTTTAGGGTAATTTAACAAATATAGTTATTTTAAATGCTATTTTAACTATCAGTACTTTTATAATCCGTATTCTGAGGGACAAGATTATGATGATGAACAATGGGAAACTGAGCCGAAAGTCAGTTTCAGAAAACTGAAGAAGCGACAAGTAGTTTGACCTCTTTGATATACGCTGCAATCGCTGTAGCACCGGAAGATCATCAAAGAGGTCGAGATGAAAAGGTCAAGATTCAACAATCTCCACTCTCTGTGTTGAAAGAATCCTCGTTATTCTTGAGTGAACTGGTATACACATTTATCAAAGCTATTGATAAATAAAGGAATTGCCCAACTATGGAGCATTCATATTTTTTTCAAGATTTTTCTACAAGACGCATTCTCTACAATAGTTCCTTGGCACAAGAAGCATGCAGGTCCTTCTATCCTTTTAGAACCCTTGGTCAATAGTGCACACAACAGAGAGCGACATAAAAGGGAAGGGGTATATTCAACTATTTCTCAGCAACAGCACGATGTATCTCTGCACAAAGTGAAACGACTGAAAAAATTACCTTTTGTTAACTGAGATGTATAAAGGCTACCGATAGTAAAATACTAATATCTTGAATCAGTAGAGTAATGACCTTTTTGTTTCTTATCGTCTTCACCTTTATATTCATCTGTATCATATTCCTTCTTTTATATCGCCATCTGTATCAACATCCTCGTAACCCCCCTCTTCAATCATCATTCCGAACATCATTTTCAATCTTCATTCGCTTTTTTTTTCTTTACGCATTATCCTTAACCTTTGTAATCTAGAGTTATAGATTTGAAAGAACCATTTCTTAGGATGTCAATTTATTGCTTAAAAAAATATTCATACCTTGACTCAATAAACGGTTTGTATTAATTGTTGTAGTGAGTAATTTTAGAATTTAGCTTTTCGTTTTGTTAGGACCATTAAAAACATCCCTGTTTCTAAGGAAAAATCATCTTCAATCTTCGTCTTCTCTATCATTAATTTGATATTTTCCACACAGCGTCTGCTGGCAAGGAACAAACACCATTTGTACACTTCCAAGATGAGACGAATTGGCAACGATTGTCTGGATGACGCAATAACTTTCCTTCGAATTGTTCGATCGCTCTTCTTCCATCAACGGTTGCTCGCTTTAAGAAACCAGCTGCCAACTCAGCAATCTGAAACTTTGTGCCATAAGGGTATATAATATATAAATGGCCTTAATATCGCGTGGCACGTGCGCCTGCAAAACTAGTACAAGTCACGTTCGCGAAGAAATATATTATATATATCGATCGAATGCTGCCTTCTTTTTGCGAGTGCGCTGAACCCATATCGGAAGCCATACACATTGCAAATGCCCAACCACCATGTTCAGAATGATCCTTCCAACAAAACGTAATCCGATTCACAAAGGCATCACTATTTTCATCTGCCTTGTGAATTGTTGTAGCTTCCTCTAATACCAGTCTCTTCATTTAACACAATTGATTAATTAACTCTTTCAGTAATTACAGTTCTCGAATTTACCCTATGCAAAAATCACCTTTTAGTTTCAGTCTCAGATTTGGCAGTCGTGTTTTATATTCCGAACTTTTTTTTTGGTCCAAAATTGCATTTAGTACTTTTTAATTATTTTAATATAAGAGATTTAAAATTACAATACGACACTAGTGGCCATTAAGTGAATCAAAAAAACACTTTCCGGAGCAAAATTTTCTGGAAATGTGCAGAAATTCCTGACAGTTTAGGATTTACTTTGGAGATAGTAAAAAAAAAGGTCTCACCGGCTAAAAAATTGAGTATAGAGATTGAAATCCGGTAATTAAACGCAAGGAGGGAACGGGTATAAGGTCAGGAATTATGGTCTTGCAAGATGAAAATTTGCTGACCCCCTGCAAAGAACCTGTCGAGACAAATCTCAAGGATTCGAAGCAGAATTCCAGAGTTAGAAAGGAAGAGGCAAGGGCCAGAACGGGTTGAATGCTTTCGAGACAAAGAGGACAAAGGCCCAGAATCTACTCCATGGCGCTGCTGTCGCTCCTTTGCTCGGAAACGATTTGTGCCTTCCCCGTTTTGCTCTCGCAAACACACACACCAACATCTTTACAAGTTCGCACGCTTATAATGCCTGGACCTCGGCACGGCGTTCGCTTGGCAGAATACTTTCACTGGTTTCACGGCCAACAGACACGTTACACGATGCTAATAATACTGGTTTTCGTGCTACTATTACTGAACACCAAGGATCTTAGCTCGCAGTGTGGACGCGCCTCATTTCCATTACACAACGGGAAGAGAAGAAAACGATCTCGCCTGCTGCTAAATCATCGCAAGGAGTGGCAATAAAAGAACATCAAAATTGTTAAAGTGAGGGTACTCTTTTTCGAGAGGCATTAAAATAAGTGTCCTGGCCTCTATGGGAAAGGTATTCCTTTGTTGCTGGCTGCTGAATAGCAAACCTTCGATAAGAGAATTCCCTGAAAAACGTTGGATAGATGATCGATCGATGTTGATGCTTTTGCTATTTGTATTTTGTATATCCGAAGATTCTTTAAGCACATCATTGCATGACTCGTCAAATTAATTCCCCTTTGTTCGAAGGAAGCAAACATGATATCACAATCGTTTCTGCAAGATATCACCTTGAATACAATTCTATTAATTTTCTATTTCTGGAGCTTTCTACTTTATTTAACTTGAAGACTTGATTCCTATTTTTGAACTTAATATTTACCCAACTAACAAATTGTTTGTCGTCCAAAGTTGTTAATCCACCTAAACATGAGTAATTACTCATAATCGTTACGAATTAATCAGCTTATGTGGCAATTATCGTGTTATTATTAATTTATTGCATATATCAGTTGAAAAAATCCAGTTCTTGCAAGATGTAAGGAAAATAATTACAAGACCATAAATAACGTTTGAGAATAGCAAAACGTGATCATCCTTATGATGCAGAATCGAAATGAAGGAAGTGGAAGGAAGTGGGGGAGACAAAGTGAAAAAAGAACCTGCAAGTTGATGAACAATAAAGACTGATATCAAGATGCTTGCATAAGCTTCATGTATATCCATCGGTTGTGTAACCACACGAAGGTGTGTAACAATATTGTATTGGTAATCATGCAGTCTGTTTTTTTTTTTTTTTTTTTTTTTAATATTCGATAGGGTCACATTGGCTTCAGTGACGCATTGTCCCTTGAAGAGCAACGCTGCTTCCGGCGGATGTCGAACGCATGTCAACGACATCCTATACACTAAGGACAATACGCTTACAATCCGTGTAAAGCCTTCCGCTTCGAGACGCAGCCAATTAGAGATGAAAAAGTATATAAAACAGAAACGACTGCAAATGGTAAAGCAGTTTCCATGTAAATGTTGCTGTTGTTAATAGTTCTCTGCGGAAAAACGAGGTCAAGACCGATTCGTAGACACATTTTCAAGAAATTACCAATACGTTTCCGCATTTTTGAATATTAAGTCTATTTATTCATTCCATTAAATTATTTAGTCAACTTCATTGTCCAGATGGAACTGTTTCTGCAACAAAAAACTCATCAGAAAATGTTGAAATCTCTCGTTAGCCTCCATGTAATGTGGTTTAAGATACACACGTGCTCGGAACTATTCATTAATTTAGGTAACAATCCCTCCTCCCGATCAACTTCTCCTTCATTTGCGATGCACATTATTACCCCCACTTATCGAGCTTCTATTCTCCGTGCCTTCTCTTCGCCAATGGTGGGGCTGAAAGTAAACTTCTCCCGTGTGTCTCTCTCTCTCTCTCTCTCTCTGAATGCGTGTGTAGGTTCTCGAGAGCTGCACACACGATGGGGTCTCACCAGACAAGGTCATGGCTACCAAGTGCCAGTCGGTCGTCGTCGGGCGCGAACAGGCGGCCATCTTGGAAACGCTTTGGCGTCATCCAATGCACTGGGAATAACAATAAATTATCTCCTGCCACTCGCCGCCTTCCACCTCTCAACATGTTATTGAGATTAACTCAACGTTGCATCTCAACCTTATCCTAAAGCTAAACGCGCTTGCTCGCGAAGCAAGAAAATTGCACTCCAAGGATAAGCGGATTTTGAACTTGACCGATGAATTGCTGAAGAACACGAAAGGATCAACTTTATTACCTAGAGGCAGAATTTTCTGTGATTCAGATCACTTTGCTGTTATTCAATTCATCTTTTTTTGGGTTGCTGCGGTTCCAGTAACTACGAATCTAATCAAGTTTTTTTAAAGATGATAAAGTGTTGGTTGATATGGATGAAATGCTTTTTATTGGTTGCGTGATCTTTTCATTCCAAGTTACTCGCAGGTGCAGCCTTTCTAATTCTTGAACGATGGAGATTTTCTTGGAATTTTTATATGTTCCTATCACGAAAGACAATTGCGAAGATTGAAGGCTCCGTAAGGCATTGATGATGAATCAACTGATCAAGAGAAAGATTTATTAGACTCGACTTATCAAAAACAAGAGAAAACTTTTATTAATAAATTCATTCAGATGAATCATTGGTAAATGGTAATTTTTCAAATATTTGTTGAGGTTTTAATAAATTTCCTGTTTCAGTGGAAACGTACTGTCAATTCTGAGGTTAGATTCATATTCAAATGCTTCGAAAAAGTATAGTCTGGTTCTTGGTTCTGAAGTAAGCCAAAATTTTCTCGGCCTGTGTTAGCTATGACCTGATCATAAATTGTTAATTGAATGTCTATTGATTATTAAATCATTAATCAATTAATATCACTGATTATTCAATCATCAGTAGGTGAGTAGACAAAAAACTAATTAATCAAATCTGCAAATTGATTAGTCGACGTTAAAGAAACCAAATCTTGTTTCATGAGTTGTGAAACAATAGCTGATGATTCGAGAAGAATTTTTCAAATTCTAAATCACTGATTATTTTTCCTACAACTCAATAACTAAATCAACTTGTAAAATCTTGATTTATCATGGAAGTTAATCCTGATGCGTTAAAATTCCGTTTTCTTTAAACGATCAAGTATGTAATTATTTAAAAACGATTTTGTAAAAAGATTGAATTCTATCTTTTCTGCGGATCATTTCATTAGTGATTTCTTAAAGACGCAATTCTCGTTTCTCTGTATCTTGTGTTTTCC